ATAGTGATAATGACTTTGTTATTGTTTTTGTTGCTCTCATTGTTTTTAAATATAGAAAGTTAGCGACTACTTCCAATGGTTAAAAGTGTCTCACGGGTATCATATGAGGGGGTGAGGTATTTTTGAGGAAGGAAATTTTCAATGTTTAAATACAGGTGGAAGTGAAGCATTCGATATCACTCGTCCACTGTTCGCTTCACCGACACTCTGACGAGGAATATTTCAAGTGGACTTCGAGAGGATTATTCAATACATTCAACAAATTCATCAACATTCATATTTTAAGTGAGTGTTATATTCTTTAAATATTTTCATATATATTTTAATACACAGCTTTTATGTGATGTATTGGTATTTAGCTATAGTTATCATACATTTTACATATAACAATCATATAATTAACTTACAGTATGGACTCTTTAAAGCAGACGTTGGTCACACAAACAATAAGCGTTCAATTTGTGTCCATGGGGGATCTCACGATCGATAGGCCATACCCAGTATTGAAGATGGTCAACCAGGACACACAGTACGGACAGACCGTCATCAGCACGCTCGAAGGTGATGCGGGTAATCGCCTTGAGGTATATCTCCCGAAGTCCATACATCTCAAGGATGAAGAAATATTAGAATTCAACGGTAGAGTTGATAAAAATTTGAAACTCGTGTATAAGGGTAGACGGGGGAGGGCTTTTAATATTACATTCGTATAATATTTAAATATATATTCAATCATTTTATCGATGTGTGTGTGTGTGTATGTATGTATGTGAAATAAATTTAATATTAATACGTAAATATGTCTTCCATTTTATTATTATTATTATTTTATAATAAGTGTAACCCACCCGACTCACCTACTCCATCATTTAATATGATAGATGTATATTAGTATAGCTAATAGGTATTTACTCGCATACAATTTCCCGACAGTTATAATATCGAGTGATATATATATATATATCATATTGCTATAGAGTTTGATGTGTAGATTAGTTTAGTATAAAATAGAAGCCCACGTTAAATAACCTATTAGGTATAATATATATATTTATATATATATAAGGAAAAA